AACACTCGCTCACACTCCGATCCCCACCCACACCCTATGATACAATTACACTTTGTAGCAAAAAACTTATTATATTAACACCACATAAACGACCTCATTTATCACCTGAATGGGGTTGGATTTTGAAAGATGAATTTGTACATGAACATATTCGTGCTAGACTTTATAAATCTGATGAATAAAAAAATAATAGAACTTATTTTGAATATAAGAAAGTTTCACTCTTGCATATATGATATACGTATATAATACTATAATGCGAAACAATAGAATAATAGGCATTGCTCTACAAAGAATTTTAATTATAGAGGAGAATCTAATTGTTAACACATGAATGAGGAATCTTTGATTGTTAGAAAAAGTAAATTCAAATAATCGTAATCTTAGTAAAATCAGCTCTTATTCTAAAAGAAATATTATGACATTAAAGTAGAAATCATAAACTATTTATTTAGCAGATTCTACATTTATAATTATTTTAATTCAGATAATTTGATATTTTTGGATCTATAATAGTGTAGCTAAATCAAGGTTTTTGTTTAATAAAATATCTATTATTAGCATAATTCAAGGATATTACATTTTCTAAAGATAAGAAATGCGTTTACACGAAAGCTATTAAACAAGTTCATTTTGCATAGAAACAAATGTATCGACCAGTACAGCATTATAATCAAAATTTATTTTTCTCAGATTCAATTACAAAGGTAGTAGTGTTGACAAAGATTTATCATTTTTTACAATTTATAATTCTATTACTATCGGCTAACTCAATCCTTATGCAGTGAGTAATTAAACAGACATTTGGTCAAAGAATGAAAGTTAGCTTTTATTGCTTTGAATAGTATATAGTGTATATTTTGGCACATGGTCAATTGTATAAATCGAAAGATTTTGTTTTGACTTTTTCGTTAACTGAAAAAACTTTGGTCACAAAAGAAGACATCTTACAGAGAAGATAAGAAGAATAGCTTAGTAAATTGTATATATATTCAGAAAGTAGAGTTTCTGCTTTATCAAATCGTAAAAAAGACACATTTGTCGTATCTCTCTTCCATTTAAAAAAGAAGTAATCTTTCTTTCTGAATTAAACACAGTCACATAAGACTCTTAAACTATGCGTAGAATTTTTCTAGACTTATGTATTTTTAAAAAATTTGTACGACATTATTTTGCGAGTTTTAGTTTCATCACTTATGCTTGTATGAATATATTTGATGTAAAAATTATTATTTATAGATCGCTCTTTGCAGTGTGGCATAGCTACCGCTATATGTTTTAATTTTATGCTTCTATAACTTGTGCGATTGTAGAAATTTTCAAGATTTCTTTTTCCTCTTTTTTTACGATTATTACTATGTTATCAAGAAACTCGTTATCAGTTGAGTGTAAAAAAAATATGTTTGCTACATCATTAATACTTTTGTTAGATCAAGAATTTATTGCTGATTTATTTGACAATTAACTTTTCTTAAATCTATTGAAATTATTGGATTTTTGTATCGGTATGAATAAGCAGCATTAGAATTTGTGATAATTATATAATCAAAAGAGAGGCGAAAAAAGAATAGAATTGATTGAAATATAACGATCTATTTGCATTCTTTGATAATATTAAGACACCTTTATATTTATGGTGATGATGAAGAAATCTTTGTGTTTCTTTTTCTGCATCTGTTAATTTTGCTCAGATTAGACAAATAAATAGAGTATGCATCAAAGCTAAGAATATTTCATTTCATCGTTTTTCTCCTTCGATTGTTCTATTAATTTCGTATATTGTGTAGTAGTGAATATTTTCAACCAATTACGTGATTTGCTGATTTTTTTTTTTCTTAGCAATAAATCGTAAGAGAATTTTACAACATATTCAACGTAATATGCTCTAATCCGATAAACGAATGCAAATATAAATTTGGTGATGGAGACATTGAAATAAAAGAAAGTGTTTTTATGATTTGTTTTTGTTTGATATCAGTTGGCAATGCATTTCAAGATATTATCAATCGTCATCACTTTAGAAAGATTCGGGAAGCCGAGCACAATAATTTTGATATTGTCACATCATCATCGTCGAGAAATATTTCAACTTCGTAAAAGGTTATTTTAATGTATTTGTTTTATGTATAGTCAGTTGAAAGTTAATATAGTTAGTAGATCGGTAATACAAACGAGTGGATGAATACCACGTAATCTTTCTAAGTCTTAGTGCTTTCATCGAAATCTTGTACTCTGACATAGGCAACGCAGATATGTGCAACACGATCGAATGTTATCAGTAATGTTAATCCTTCGTCTTTATATATCATTAATAATTTACAATGATATATATTTTGTTTTTTTTTTTTTGTATTTTTTGAATAAAGAATGTTGAAAAGGCATAGAAGATATATGTTAAGGAGTAACACTTAACGAGGGAGCATTCTTAGATTTCCACGTCCTTTTGAGTTGATACTTTGTCCATAAGTAGGTCTTGGTGAGCTATAAAAAGTCTTCAAAGAGTTTGTTCCCATGGACATTCCTTGACACGTTTTGAATGGTTCAAGTATTTTCCAGGCACATGAAAGTAATTGCAAATGCTTTTTAATCACTATGAATAAGTAAGAGATTGTAAGTCTCCTTTAAAGTAAACTTAATTATAACTGGATTACACTAGAAATCTTCAGAAGTTCGCAGATGATAAATCTCAAAATTTCGCTATGATTTTCTCATGGAATACAAGCATTTGTCGTACTGTTGAATGTTATACATCCAGGTTCATATGAAAATCATGAAGATGTTCTAATGGAAATGGTACTGAAGAAAACACGTTGGAAAGTCTTGTATAATCTAGTTATCATTAAGTTCACTTTCAAAATGATTCAGAGTGTCTTACTTGTTAATAGTGACAAAAAAAAGCGTTTGCCATATATTCTCACGTGCATGGAAAATACTCAAGCAATTCAATATTCGACAAGAAATGCTCATGGGCACAAACTCTTTAGTGATTTTTCATAGATTATTGACCATATCGAGTTGTCTATAAGACAATAATCTTTCATGTTTTCCAAAAATGAGTTGTAAGTAAAATAATATCATCTTGAAGTTTTTCGCAGTAAAATATTGTTATTTATCAATCGTATGAATTAAAATGCTTGTATTGTCTGCAAAGAAGAACGATTTAAAATAGAAAAAATTAATATTTTCTAACCAATCCGTTATGTTCTATAATCTGAACTGATCACAAAAATTTTAGACCAAAAGTTTGTTCTTTTGGAAAGCTAGTTTTCTAGAAAACCAGCATATAAAAATCTAAGAAGATTTCTTTTGGTCATATTTGAAATTAGCAAGATGTATAACCGACAACTCACTAGCTTTCGATGAGAAAGTGATTGATTAGTTGAAAAACGTTCCTTTGTTAAGTCAAAAATCGAACGGGTTAAACTTCTTGAACGAAAATGAAATCGTAATGACTAGAAAGTTATCAACTTCAAAAATTTGATCATTGATACTATGTACAAGTTTGATGACCAACACCGATAGTAGGGTCATCCATTCGCGTTATATTGTAAAAGTCAACGATTGATACGTAAGTTCATTTTGAGGAGTTGCCAAACATTTTCGATGGATACAAGATTAGATGACATCGACGATCAATCAATTCTATGAATCCCATTATTCATTCTCTAGTTGTCTTCCAAGCTATTGACAAGAGATCATACTTGTAAATGCCACAAATCGATTTTGAATCTAGGCTTTGTATGAAACAGACGACGCAGCCGAAGTCTTGACTTGAGAAGCAAGCCGAAACAGTGACGTCGATAGAATGCTTGACGGTTCGAACGAACTTTTTTCCCTCGTAAGTTCCAAGTCAATCCTTTGACGAAATTTAGACGGATGGTGGTGTCATTAAAGAAGATCATTTGATCTTACGTAGTTCATAGCTTTGTTATCTTGCACCCATTTTAAACTATTCTCTCACTACCAATCCACAAGCAAGAGCTTCGACATGGATCGATTGTATTTCGCGTCTGCTTCGTTGAGTTGCCGTTGCGCCGTTCTCTTATTAGTCACGACTCGTTTCCACTTCAGTTGGCTTGCAACATTTCGGCTAATAACGAACGTCTAATGTTCGACGAGTAAAATAATTTGTTGATTCTCTTTTGGGTTGTTACAAGTAGTCGAATGGATCAAGTCTTTTGACTTCTTCCATTGTTTGAGCCAATATTTCACCGTTGTCACGCCACAATGAAGTACTTTTGCCACAGCCGTATGATTGACCTTTTGACTCAACGAACATTGAGATAAAAATATAATTTCGTACTGCTGGTGCACTGATAAAACCATATATCAGAGCTATCGATGAATAACAATGCTGAAGGAATGAACAGTGATTCTGATGAGAAGATGATTACTGCTGCTTATTTATATTAGTCTTATGGAAAGTTCTACTAGAGGAGGGGAGAGATTTTTGTTCACTATTGCATAAGCCAAATATTAGCGCAAACTGTATGAATCACTTGAGGACCTTCCCTCATCAAGGATTTTCTGTCTAGTAGAAACTAATGTTTTTATGAAAAAAATGGGACTTTGACAGGAAGTACGGTCACGTATTCTGTGTAAATTGCACAGTGTATGTTATATAAAAGAACATATGACTATCTTAATAGATTTTGAATAATGATATTGGGTCCCCAAATATAGATAAAATAAGCAGATTTATAATTTAATTTTTATCATGATATAATTATTTATTTGTTATAACGTAATACTTATGACGTACTTATAAACAAACGTTTGATGATAAGAAAATCAAGCTTGTTTTAAAATATAACAAATTGCCCGGTCTTTCCCAACAATCTGTTAACTTGTTCTTAAGGGTATTAAATCGATTCATGTGAAACTAAAAACATGATGCTTGGCTCTATTTTGACAATTAATTTTTTTTTATGCTTGAAGTATGTTGCATATATTCAACGGAATGGTTCTTTAATTAACCGACTCGAACATTTATACATCTTATGCCACGTATTTCAATCTATCGTCAGCTGTGGGTTTTCATTCTTTTTACTTTACTATTCTTTATTTTTTATGAATTAATATCGATCAAAACAAACAATCATAATGAACTTATTGATGATTATACTCACTGTCTTCTTGATGTTCATCAAGCATTAGATTCATTATCTATTCCATGGTTTATTACATTTGGTAGTGCTCTTATGTATTGGCGTTCAAAAAATTTTATTTCTCATGATATAGATATTGGAATTTTTTATAAAGATTTGAAACAAAAAGCTATTAGAGATAGAAAATTCGTATCAATAATGAGAAAAAAATTTCATTTTAAATTTCTTCATCGTTATGGTCGAATAAATCATGGACAAGAATGGACATTTTCATGTCCAAAATCAAAGATTTCCATTGATATTTTTGTTTATTATCCTTTAAATGAATTAAATAAATCATCAGATTATTGGTCAGCAACTTATCATGGTTTATGTAATAATATGATTTATAAAAAATGTCGATGGAAATTTAAACAGTTTAATTTAACAACATTTGAAATGTTTAAAAAGAAATTTTATATTGTTCCAATAGAATTTATTGAAGAACGATATGGAAAAAATTATACGATACCACATAAATATAGTTATTTTGAATCATTAAAATTTTTACCAAATTTAATTGAAGAATATAATGTTGATATAGAAAATAATAAACAACAGTAATAATAAATGTATGTTTAAATAGCGTGTTACTAGCATAAATAAAAAATAAAGAAAGTGAAAACAATTGAACACTATCAGTACTTGTTGTGTTGAGATTTTTTATCTAAATATTTGTTGAGACGTGACTTAGCACTAGAGGTGCAGAATGTTTGCGTCCCAGAACAAGGAAGTAGTGCGTGAACAACTTTCAAAAGCAAGAGGGAAGTATGACGCTACACGCGCCCCGCACAAATTACGCATCTTTTGCAAAATACATAATGGTTAACAATATCACAATTTTCCAAAATTATTATGTAATCCAAAAGTTAGTTATTCAAGAAATTAAATTCACCATCTCTGGCGAACGAATTAATTTTCCCAGTGATAAATATATTCGCGGTCATAGGTGACACTCATAACAATAACAGTGCTTTCAAGTATTATTTTTCACATGAATGTAGTCCAGTAATCTTGATGAGTGTGAAACAGAAACTTTAAATTCTCTAATCATAAATATTCTACATGTAATATTCTCAATCAACGTTCTAGACAATTAACATTTGATTCAAAATTTTTGTCACAGATATACGTCTTGTTATCTACGAGAGAACCGTTCCAAATGATGAATCGTTTTTGACTTCACATTTCCTGCAAAAATTAGATCCCAATAAAGAAAGTATGACAAATTCTTAAAAAAAGAGAAGTTTCCTGATGTCTTCCTTCCGAAGCTATAACCATTTTACTGCAATTTCAGTCTATGGCACAGTATATACCAATACTTCGATCTGAAATTTTATACGTAGATAGGTTTATCTATATTTGGAGTATCCTGCAATTATCAGCTCACAAGAACAGTCTCTTCACATGTTTAAAAAGACACAAGATTTTTTGCATCTTTCGTAGGATATGAATAATTTTTCGAAATAAAATATCTTGTGAAAGAAACATTATTTTGAGCTAAGAACTGTACGGCATTGTAAGTATAAATATGTTTATCTGTGGACAAAATTTCAGGTTGAATATATTGTCATTCGATTTGTTGATCTATATAGTGTCATCGTCTGAAATATCAGTAAAATGTTTATAGCTCTGGATGGAAGACATAAGGATACTTTTTCTTTTGAGATTTTTCCACTTTGCTGGAGTTTACCTCGTAGACAAAGTCTGAACTCAAAAGCCATGAGTCGCTTGAAACGGTTCTCTCATTTATGCTTCCTTGACATTTAAGATAAGTTATTCAGAATATAATAAAATTCTGTTTCTTTTATAACGCGTCAAGAAACTCCAATTTATACTCATGTCAAAAATACTACTTCTATACAATATTTTTCATATAAATATAAACTCTAAGCACTTATTTATTGGCACTGAAAAAACCTTCACCCATTTGACTCGAATATAACGGAAATACTCAAACTATTTTTCTAGAAAAAATGACTTTTGGGTCAGTCTATATTCTCAATTACTATTGGGTCAGAAGTCAAGGAACCAGAATGTTTTCCGAATAACTTTCAATATGAACAAAATGAAAATCAATAATTTTCAACATTTGACATAGGACAGAGATAGATACTACAGATGTTCACAGAATGATATTCTTATAATCTACCCTGCCCTAGTCTCATCCTATCCTGTTACATTGGATCGAACAGATTAGAGTAGGGTACCTTGCAAAACTGATATTCTGTCTCGATTGTATTTTTCAATTGAGTTCAAAAGCAATAACGTTTGCACATTTCAAAAGTATGCCACTTCAAGACGCCAATGCATATATTGAATCACTCTTTTCAAGATGAAATCTTTGGTCTTCTTCCAATAAGAATTTCTTTAATCGTTTAGGAGAGTAGATACTAAGTAGGTGTCATCATCAGAATTAAATGATGGAGAATTCATAAGTTAATCTTGAGGGTGGAGTGGCTGTGGGTGTGGGGTGGATGTGGGGTGTGAGTGTTAATTGACAGAAGATCGACACCCACACCCAATCTAAACGAGCTGTTGCTGAATTACTTAGAAACTCATTCCTTATGAGACATCCGTTGTGATCTGAGGTGTGGGCGTGGGTAGGATGTGGGTGGAATGTTGTGGGTGAGTGCGGGATGTGAATGTAGGTGTGGAAATAAGGGTGGTTGCGGGCTGTAACAGTGAGTGTGGATGAGGATATTCTTTTCCTGCACACCCACACACTCACATGCTCAAGGTTAGGAAGAAGAAAAGTAAAAGATTGTCGGTTGACAACGCTCATATTTAGGTCAGTAATTGAGTGACATCACCTGCCTCTTTGTTTAGCCATGATTTCCATAGGATAGAACCAAGTTGGAGCAACCATCTTTGCACATTCTCTGTTCAACAAACAATAATGGGTAAATTCGTGGGGTTTCTACCACTTTGTGAAAAAAGCTTTTTTTTTCGATTTTGATATTCTAGTTAGACGTATCATCGTCGAAAACGGTTGGAAGTAATAATAAAAATCTTTTTCGATATATAAAGTTGGGAGATGCAGGTCAATTTTAGGAACAACTCAATGTATCTATCGTTGGATGATCTATGGGATCTCAATCATGTTATGTAGTGATGCAATTTTCAGCGTCTGTAGAGCGTTTAATTTCGAGCATTTTGATTAAAAAAAATTTCCAAAAAGCTTTTGTATTCTTGAAAATAGACGCAAAACACTATAAGTAGTAAAAAACTACAAACTCTCAAAAAATGATTTTTGCACAATTTTGACCAATTGTTTGTAATAGTTTGCTCCATTACTTATAGTGTTTTGAGTCTATTTTCAACAATACAAAAACTTTTTGGAAATTTTTTTTAATCAAAATGATCGAAATTAAACGCTCTACAGACGCTGAAAATTTCATCAATACATAAACATGATTGAGATCCCATAGATTATCCAACGATAGATACATTGAGTTGTTCCTAAAAATTGACCTACATCTCCCAAATTTATATATCGAAAAAGATTTTTATTATTACTTCCGATCGTTTTCGACTATGATACGTCTAACTAGAATATCAAAATCGAAAAAAAAACTTTTTCCACAAAAGTGGTAGAAATCTCACGGATTTACCCGTGATTAAGTTTGATAAATAGTGGAGTTATTCGAATTTACTTTCACGCCGAACTTTTGGGTCACCCTGTGTAACAAACTTATTGAACAAATTATGTAGAGGAAGATTAGAGCTATCATCTGAAAAAAGAGTAGTTCGAAATACATAATCTTATGATCATTTTATTGATTTTAAGTGAAAATTTTTACATTATTTTTTTTTGAAATACACAAAATATATTTATAATATTTTAAGTGACAAATTATATTCTAGAGAGTTCGATAAGTTCTATAAGAATATGTATATTTACAAAAAATTTGATCTTTTTTTTAAATATGAAAATTGAAGAAAACTTTCATGTATCAAATATTAGAGAGAGAGAGAGAGAAAGTTGATCTTTCAAATGTTTTAGTTATTTAACTATTCCATCTATTTAGATAATTCAGAAGAATTATTTTCAGTTTCACTATGTAACCGTACATCTCGAAATATCAATTAACAGTCGATCAGCTCAAATCTTTCGAATTTAAATATACTATCTGATAAAAGATATGCAAGATTAGTTTGCATGATTTCAATCGAGCTTTATTTTCTTAATATTCATATTTTTGTAGAACTTGCTGAATTCTATTGGACGTTAGAAAAATATCTATTAAAAATATGCAAAAAATTTAACTATTAAAATTTTTTTTTATTCATCAAAAAAAAAATGCAAACGTAAAAATTTTCACTCAAGAGCAATAAAATGATCATAAGATTACATATCTAAAAAATGGCATAATTTGATCAATAAATTTGTTATAGATATTATCGATTTACTAAGGAGGAATTGAAACTTTTGAGCTACTCTTTATTTTTATTTTTATTTCTTGAATAAAGATATACAATAACAAAATCAAAATATTTAAATGATTAAAGGTAGACTATTCAGATAAAACAAAAGCAAGTTTGTTTTCACACTATCGACATTGTTTTTAATAACACATCGAAGAACAGATAAAAAAATAAGAAATAAGAAAGATACAATTTTCAAGCAAAAAAAAGAACGTTGTTTTGCAGGATAAACTGACTATAGTTAGAATACATTTTGATGAATTATTATCTGCTATTGGATGAGTATTATGCATATATAAGAAAAATAAGCTATGAGTAAACAGTATTGTCATCGTTTATTCAAACTTATTTTGATTATTTTTTAATGGGATAACTTTTTTAACTATATAGTAATGACTAATAACTGAACACGTGATAAAGATAAAAAATCACAACGAAGAAAAACTAATAATGATGAGTCAATATTATTATCGTTAATTCGAGTTTATTTTTATGCTAGTTGGATATTGTTTTAAAGGGGGATTTTTTTTTGTCTGTAGTAATGACTAATGACAGAACAGGTGAGAAAGGCAAAATGCGCAATCGAAAAGAGATATATGAAGATATTTATCTTTCTATTTTTCGCGATACGGTTAGATGAGCAGTAGATATATTCAAGATATTTTTAGTTTAAGTATAGAGCAGTGAGGACAATAAAATGGTATTCTCTTTTGAACTAAGCAATATTCTCTCGGAGAATAACTAACAAATGTATGTATAAATAAAACTAGTCTCTTTAAGACTTTTTTGTAATAAATTTACTGTGCTAAAATAGTATTATTTTATGACGGCGAAAACATTTCAAGATTGTTTACGAATTAAACAGCAGCTATCAACCACTGTAAAATTAATAACTTCACAAAGGATATGTACTGTTTATTGTTCATCTGATTTGTGATTTTCACACTAGAAATACAATTGTTGACAGTAGTTCTTTTTTTTTCCGGGTAACCATTTGAAGAGAGTTGGTCTCGCGGAAAATTAAATAGAATGTTATATGGAAAAAATTCTTCATAATCTTTAGAGAAATGATTCTTGTTCGGTTTAGGAATGAGAATTTATTATAGCTATGGTATTTTGATTTCAAAAGTACTTAGATAATAAGAAAGATCTGAACTACCTTCGGAAATACTAAAAACAAAAACACTTTCTCACCTAAAATTTCATTGAAACTCTACTTAGATTTGACAAAAAATATATTCATTTGATGCAGAATTTTCTTCTATATCAGAATCCAAAAATGTCATAGATATTTAAATGCTTTTTTTTTCTGTCGATAAATGTCAAAGACTGTCTTTATTTGGTATTATTAATATTAAAAGTAAATTTTTGAGTTTCATAAAATCATAATTTCTTCAGATGTATCAGCGATATTTTTCTTATCAAATATCAATGTCTAATTAAACGTTTGTGCTTTAACTACTTAACTTAGTAGTCATTTGGCATGTTTTTTTTTCAATAGTACTCGACGATTTTCAGCACTATAAATCTCATTGGATTTCAAACGAATATCATATTTAAAATAATGTATGAAATTGTTTCTGCAAGTTTTTTTTAAAATAAAATTCAAATCTCCGTTCCCTTCAGAGATACGTGAGAAGATAATTTATATCAAAATAATTGTTTAAATATTTAGATACTATGTATTAGATCTGAAAATGACATTTTATAAGTTTAGAACTACGTCGTCAGCGCCTGTATCCTTATTTTTTTGATAAAGTTGATATTTAATTGTAAACAGGCATAAACAAACGTAGCTTTTCGTGATGATTTCGAATATGAGATTCAGCTATGAAAATTGAGCTTCAAACTGAAAATGAGTTTACGAGGAAGGACACATTCAATCACATATGTAATTAATAAACTTTTGTTGGTACGCTCAGAAAACTATTATATAATAATAGTCAAAAGATTATTATCTAAAAGAATACTACTCTATTGGAGGAATAATTGTCATTGATTGATAGAAAAACATTTGAATATCTAAGATATTCTTATAAATTCTGATAAAAGAAGAAATTTTGTATCAAATGAGTCTGTATTCGATAGGCTCTATGTAAGTTTTAATTGAAATTCATGTTAGAAAACTGTTTTTGTTTTCAGCATTCTAGAAAGTGCTTTGGACTTCTTTTATTAGCTGAGTAATTATATAAAGATAAAGCATGATACAGGCAATCAACATATATGAAGCTATCGAACTATATAGAATTTTAGTAAAAAGATAATACTTAAAATTTTTTCTCAAGATCTTAAACGGATCCTAGAAGTGATAAAGTGAATTGTGAGAAAGAATAAAATAAACTAGAATGACTTTTTAGCATAATTTAAAAAAAAATAAATCATTTTTTTTCTCCCTAATATGTAATATACCACGAAATATGATGCCTCGTATAAGTTCGCATAAAATTCAAAACGAGTTTCCAAAATCTAATAATGAGATGAAAAAAGCGATTCTCTCGAATCAAATAGTTCTATGCATAAAACACAAATCGATTATATATTTTAACGAAATATAGACCCGATATGCTAGTAGATGCTATCAGTATATTTTTTGTTGTATTTGTTATTCATCTATGTCATTCAACAAACACTTTTTATTTTAAAAGTTCAAACAATCAAAATTTTACCATTGCTCTTTAATAGCTTAGAAAAGCTACACAACATGTAGTTTACAAAAACCAAAAAAATGTAGCCATAAAAGAAATTTGTAACTACATTATTCTTCAGGTGCAGTTGTTTTTGATATTAGTCGACAGTTACGATGTTACTATTAGAAAAGCTTTGATTTGAATCAAAAGAAATTCAGTTTGACTAAGTACAGTTTAAATTACTTCTGAAGTTTATTTGTTTTTCATCGAAAAATTTAATCATGATCTTCTTAGACACCAAATGCAAAATGGATTTTGTCAAATCATGTTTTGAACAATATAGAAAAACTTCAACAATTATCGTAAGGTATTCGATTGACTAATAGCAACTATCTTGAAAAAACACAGTTTTCATTGAATTATTCTTTTCGACGAAAACAAAAAGCTTGAGGAATAATAGTTTAAATCGTGCTTAGTCAAACTGAATTTCTAATGCTAATGCCGAATATGATATTGCGACCTGACGTCACAGATACTTGAAGAATTTTAGTAATTCCATTGTACTTGCATTAAGAGAAAAATTCATGGAAGGACTTGCACGAAGTTCGTCTTCTTATCTTAGAGAGCTTTTCTTCTCTCCTTTCATCACAGACACATGATCACCATTAATTTAATCTGAATCAACATAAATAAGTTAGATTACAAGGTGAATGCCAGAGATAAGTTCGGAACCAGGATAGATACAGGCTTAAGAGTTATATTCAGAATTTGAATAAAAGGATCGATTATAGACAGGATTTAGGGATAGAGAAAATGGCTATGTGAAGGGATTAAAATGAAGGATCAGATTAGGGAGCAGATTGAGAGTTACGTTAAAGGATCAGAAGATGGGATACGTCTAGATTAAAGGTTTAGATTAGGGCATATATCTAGATACAATTTTTGTACTGTTGAAACTAAGGAAGCAGGGGTGTGGGTGCAGGTATATCCAAGATCCACACCCACACCCATTCGTTTATATTTTGTATTATAGATTTACCACAGAAAAGTATTTTTCATTACTTTATATTAAATTTTTATTTTGGTTAATGATCCAACTTGGACCATTGAAACAGCAATGAAGTATAGATTTAAGATTGTTTCTGTTTAAAAATAATTTTGTTATTTTAGATATTAATTAATAGATACATTGGTGAAGGTCATTAACAACTGTTCTTTTAGTAACTATCATTTTATCTAATAGTTGTTTCACATAATGAATGTCACTCATCAGTTTGTATGAAAAGTTTTTAAGAGATTTGTCTGATATTTACTGAGACTAGAATTCACTGTGCAATAATCACAAATTGATTTACCTGTGAAAACATAGACTTTACTATCACCTCAATAACATAAAACATAAATATTTTCTAATTTAAGAATCATGTGTAATAAAATCTAAACTATCTTTGAACAATTTTCTGCTAGACAATTTTTGCTCTTGTTGTTGTTTCCATTCATATTAGAGTTTTATCTTGGCATGCCTTATAAAATAGATTCTTTTACCATCTAGATGAAGTTCAATTTAAATGATATAAAATATCTGAGGAAACTATTCTTGAGTGTCTCATAATTTTTTTTCGTAGACTGTAGTATTGAATTGTTTTAGTATCATAGAAACAGACTTTCAGTAGTTGTTCATCCGTTTACTCTCATCAGTATTTTTCGTTATTTCAGATAACAAAACTATGCTCGAGAGAAGCAATAAACTTCAAATGTCGTTTCGAAAGAGTGCGTATGAGGAAACGGTGAACGACGGTGACCTTGAACTTCGTCGAAAAAACCATCGCCTTTTAATAGACGATTCCGATTTTCAAGAAAATAAATCGTGTCCTTTCGTTGATTATTCTCAAGAACCTCTACTTCCACTTCTGGATGCATGCATACCGCTACAACTCATTATTTCTGACATTCTTGAGTATGCTTCGATGGCTCTACAACGTACTCCACAACATCCACCTGATGATTTGACTCGTGATGAATCAGCTGCAATTCATCTCTACACACTGGAGTGGAAGGGTACAAGCGAAAGTCTTTATTCTCATCTTAATTATGTTCTCAGAAGAGGTGATCAAGAAGAATTGCAACCATGGCTCAAATATCTTAAACTTTTTCTAACTGCTTTGGTTAAAATACCATGTTCAACATCACAGGTCGTATGGCGTGGTGTACGAAGGAACGTTACTAGTGAATATCCGAGAGAAGCTGAAATTACATGGTGGGCTTTCTCATCTACTACTAAATCATTAAGCGTGTTAGAAAATGATATCTATCTGGGTAATAGCGGAGAGAGAACAATATTTTCCATTGAAGTGTTAAATGGTAGGAATATACGCGCTCACTCATATTTTAACAAGGAAGAGGAAATTTTACTATTGCCGGGAACACGCATGGTAGTACAATCAATATTGAATCCAGCGCCTGATCTGAACATCATTCATTTAAAACAAATAATTTCGAAGGAAGCACTAATAGAACCTCCATTCGAAGGTAAATTGAACATTACTAAAAGTTTTTTTCTAACTGAAATATGTCTGTTGTCAGGTGCATCACTTTATCCACAAATTGAGTAAGCATCATCTTGCTTTGTTTTGCTTCATCTAATAGAGTACATCCGTCAAGAATCCGTGAATACTATACTGTTTAGTATATCATTTTTAGGAAATGTAAGCATTCCTACGAGTGATTTGAATTCATTCGTATATTCAAGCTTCAAAAGGGTTCCTAATTTTATTTAAAAGACAAAATCCAAAATTAGGAATCATAATCAACATCGTAGAACATTTTCAAAAGACTATATGACGACCTTTCACTGATTTGCTAATGTTCACAAGATCCGCTCAAGAGTTAACCCATTCCAGATGTTTATGCATAACAAAAGAGTTATTATGTTTTTTTGTTATTGAGAATAATCTCTGATACTGATATATCTTTGATGATATATTATAGTTCTGTTCCATAACTGTCGCTTTATGAAATTTATGAAGTGTTGCGAAGATCTTTAATCTAGGAATTGAAATGATTTTTTCTTAATACAGATGTTTTGTCCAAAAGCTTGAATAGTTGAAAAACTTACTCATTCCTTATAGAGAACTGAAAGGAAACTTGGTAACACTAAGTGGCTTTGGAAACATGATTTCAAATAATGTTCACCACTGATCTACATTACGTACTCTACTATTTCATAACGTATTAACTATTTCGATGGAAAAGTCGTCACAAAAGTTTTGATTTTCGATATTCATGATCGAACATTATTCTTTATTGCCTTTAATAGAATAAACCGAGTAAGTTCGATTTAACGGAATGTATTTCGATCGATCTTGAGATAGGTTCCATACGAAGTTGATGAGTCTCTGATGGATATAATTATGTTTTTGTTGAATACTTTCACTAGACAAACAAGTCGTTCTTGGTATGTCAAGAAAAGATTTTTAATTCCAATATTTGTATTGTCGATGATGTGCATCATAGCAACCATTCTTGGCTCTATTCTGGGAACGAAACATCGTGGTAACACGCCAGGTACATTTTTTAATATATTGTAACATGTTGTTGACATAGACTTACAAAGAATCATTTCTAAATAATGAAAGAAAGTATTTAGCTTAGCGCCAATAGTACGTCGCTCAACTTTGATAGATCCTGCAAAAGCTGATCGAAGAAGAGAACGTTTTTAATATGAATTTTAACTCAAGAGCAAAAGCACTAATATAATGATACTAAACATGAAAAACAATTTCATTTCAAGAATTTATATTCACTGTAAATGAATAAAAATATGAAGTTTGCTCGGAACTGACTAAACTTTTGTCTTTCGACACCTTATTCATTTTTTGAAACAGTTCTCACCCAAACTCGATAAAAAAAAGAACTTCAAAAGTACATGCCCATTGTCAATAGGATTAACTGAATAGATCAGATTGTAAACACAGTGCATGAAAAGTAGCGTTCATTTATTTTTTGTACGAAAGGATTTGTAATTTCTATCCGTTGCATAAAATCTTCAAGAAAGAAGTTACACGCACCAGAACCAAGTGCATGATGAAATTTTTGAAAATTCTCTAAGTCAACAATCAGTGCTTTTCATTTGTTTTAAAATGGTTTTATTGCAATTGAAATGTTTACATGTTTGATGATGATTCGCTAAAGGATGAGGGCGTATAAGGCAGATATATCCATCGCGGCTCAAAATCTGTCGCTGCCGCACCGCTCCCGCGATAGTATTCGAAAAAATGTTTTGATTTTCAAGACTGTGACTGGTTTCAACTAGAACTGATGCCGCTAATCGATCAGATTCGTTAAGCCTTACAGTATAGCATACATGAACATGCAGATTCTGTGCAAATTCATGAATTTTTGAAATTTTTTCCTAAA